GGGGGGGGGGGTGTAAAGGAGAGGAGGGAAGTTCAGAAAGAAGCAGAATACAATATACACATTCATAGACAACAAAACCACAGCACAGGATATAAAGTCAAAACGGCACACACCTGTATATGCTGCCAGGTAGTCATACGCGTTTTACCGCCGCCAGTCGCAGATAAGACACAAACTCATAAATAAAACACACCGCCTCGCGTGCAGGGGGCGCGAGAGATCAGCAACGCACGAGAGGTCATTTGAAGGGGAATTATACATTGATGAGGCGATTCCGGGAACACACCACACAGGTCCGTTATATCAACTTAGAGAAACGGTATCAGAGATCGAGCTATGATGTGTGGTGTAGTATACTGGACCAAAACAGCACAAATGAATTGGTAAAGCTTATTTGTTTCAACCAACCTCAAAACGCCTTTCTCCTCAACAAAAAGTCTATTCAAATTGATTAATTAAACAAAATTTGGAAAGTAAAAATTAACAATGAAAGTTACAGTGGTGGGTCAAGAAACTGATCTTGTGGTTGTGTTCCAATTTTTCTCATAATGACTCGAGATAAAAAGTAGCCCGAGTTTCCTCTGGCCCTGACACAAGACTTACAAATTGTGGCAGATAGATGTCTGGTGTCAAAAGTCCAAGGCTGGTGTCGGGTTTCAGAAGGGAAGTTGTTATTCACTGCTAAACGTTCAGCATTTTGGGTATGAGTAACATGTGCTGTGCCGGGTGCCTTGGGCATGGTATTTCAGTGAGTTTGCGCTATATACATGTAGTTGGCATCAGATCTGCTCTATGGCTCTGCATGCGAAAATGCATATCATTTCTTTTTTGTTTGTCAAATTTGCCAAATCTACATGTGCAAGGTTATAATCATGATATTGACATTGAGCTCTTACTTCATAGGGACAGACATTTACATTTACCTATTGACATGAATTTGAATATTTACCATCGTATGGCATTGCCTACCAAATTCAGTTGGCATTCATATAGGCTATGAATGCCGTGGACCGATTGATGACGTCATAATTGTTACGTTGGATATCATTGACCCTCCATGGACGATGGCTGTTCTATTCATTGAACAAGCTTACACGATATATACATTATTTGAACTAAATGCTGAATAATAATAAGTATAATTGAATTTTTCTATGAGATGAACAGATTCCAAAAATGGTAAATATAAGTATCGAACTGCTTTTAGTTGGCAATGTGAATGCCAACTGAAAGCAGTTCAATGCTTTTTAGAAGTAAAGGCCAGCGACAGATTTACAATTTAAGACAAGTTTACTAACTAAACTTTCATTATACTGTATTTTTCATATTTAGTTCATTTTGTGCCATTACCTTAATGTATATATACGCTGATTGGAGAGGGCGTCGATAATGTTGGTATAGCGTGTGCCCAATCCATTTGTACTTTTGAATGGCAATAGAATATGTTTAAACTGACTACTTCAGTGTACATGACATACAGGCAGTCACGTTTTCATACATCCTCGATATCCAGGGGTTACGCTCACTTTCGCTCTCTGCACCCCTGGGATATGTCATAGCAAAAATGAAGGCACGCGGCTAGCTATTTGATTGGTGTCAGGTAAAAAAACCTGACCAATCACTAGGCTGATAATTGTCATTTGAAGATTACAAAGGAGCGACAGCCGACTTCAAAGCCTGTCATTTTTTACCGTTGCGCGACCGCGAGATTCGTTTGATTAGTCTTCTTGTCTCACGCACAAGGTGCTGCACATTGAGCCTTCGATTTTGCTATGACATATTCCAGGGGTGTAGAGAGCGAAAAGTGAGCGTAACCCCTGGATATTGAGGATGCTCCGGTGGTATCGAGGATGGTTATCATGTGACCTTAGCTGTTAATCGCATGTTAAGGATCTTTGTTCCACTGCATTGGCGATTTCCGTTCAGTCAGTAACTTTCTGTCTCCAGGCCGGGACATACCAAAGTCCTTAAAAATGGTAGTTGTTATTCCCTGCTTAACGTTCAGCATTTAGGGAAAAGGCAACAACTGGTTCACCCGTTGTCAGTATAATGTGACAGGGCTGAGCTCTGTGCTGGGTGCCTTGGGCATGGTCAATCCTTTTAAAACTATATCTTCACAGTAAACGGGAGCGATGTGAAGATATAATTTTAATTAGATTGCGGCATGGTATACCAGTGAGAAAGAACTATAAAGTCGACATTATATCCGCGCTATTTCGTCTGCTGGATAACTGGATAACTACTCGGTAGTGAAGCGGACGTAAAATCTATCAATCAATCAATCGCGCTATCATAAGGAGGCAAATAAACCAACATACCCTGCCTCCCGCACATACACACACACAAGTTAGGACGCATACACAATACACACGNGATACATTTTTCTGTAATAAAATGATTGACCGTCGAAGGCCACTCCCATACATAGGTNTAAACTAAACTAAACCAAACCAGTCAGTAACTTTTCTCTAGTTTATTCAAGTCAACGCAATACTAAATAAACTATTCGAAAATGATTGACCGTCGAAGGCCACTCCCATACATAGGTGTTGAGTTTTATATGATAAATGCTTTATGTTCGGTTGAACGTAGTGAATTAGAATCATAAATGTATTTATTATAGTCACGGTATACCGGCATGTATGTAGTGCAGGTAGTACAGGTGTACTAGTGTCCGGATATGAGGCCAAGGTGACACAGGTAGCCGCGTGAGGCGGGACGGGTAACGTGTAACTGCACGAGTTACAGGTGCGACACGGGTGTCTATAGAGTATTAAAGGTGGTTTGAGGGTAACATAGTCATTCGAGTCTTGACGGTTCATCAACTCACTTCAAGAAATTATATTTTCTTTTGTTAAATCATAGAATTATGAAATTTCCCCGTTTTCCTTGAGACAGGCATGGACTTCAGGGATGATGCCGGGAAGAGAATTCCTAGAGTCGGGCCAGGATCCGGATTCAGGAGGGATGGAGAAGGGAGAATGGAAGAAAGATCGGGCACGTGCCCTTGTATTTCATGTATACATTTTTCCTGTAATAAAATGATTGACCGTCGAAGGCCACTCCCATACATAGGTGTTGAGTTTTATATGATAAATGCTTTATGTTCGGTTGAACGTAGTGAATTAGAATCATAAACACTCAAATATTGCTCTCAAAAACTACCAGATAGCACCACATAGCTTGTTTACAGCTAAGCTGCACGCCGATAGACAAGTCTCTAGCTGAACAATGCAAGGGCGAGTTAAGTCCGCTGGACCTTCTAGTCTATTGTCTAGGAAAAAGGTATAGACGAGACACTTGGTTAGTTGGTAAGATGTTTACGTCATCTTTTACTGACTTAGGTCTTGTTTAAGTCAAGCGAGGGGGGTAAGTAGTGGCCTTTACTCCCCTCTTGGAGATTCAAAAGTCCTAACGGTCCTACCAGCAGGTGAGTCCCAGGGCCAGACAGCTCCCTTGGGGTCTGATAGGCGTGTCCATGATCCATGTCTTATACGTGGACCCCGGCCCGCGGTACTCTAATGGACTAGATATCCGAATTAAGCACCTTTGCTATCTGTTCGGCAGCGCTCTTGGATACTATGTTCCAACACAGGGTATGCTGGTTTCCTAGCAAAGCCTGGCAAAAAGAAGATGATCTACGACAAGAAATGAAAATAAATAATAAGTTTAAAATACCAACCGTAGGTTGTGTGTAAACCTGTGTAAGCAATTCGGCAAGGGCGAATGTAGTATCACGAGAAAGTCTTCCCTTGTATCGCATAACGTAATACAGAGTTAATTCCCCTTGCACAATAGAATAAGTAATAAGTAAGAGTTTGTTCCCCTTAACACATACAGTACATGACCTTTCTCTTTGCCAAGGTCAATACACCTCTATAACATCTGAATTACCTACTTCAAATAGCGATATCACAAAATGGACTTAAAAGTCTACCTGGATTCAAGTTAGGGGCCTACCATATTCGGGGAGGCTAAAAAGACTAAATCTACCTTCTTTGAGTTACAGACGTGCAACAGTAAAAACCCCACCCTTTCGAATACACGTGTACTGTCAAAACAATTTGTAACCCAATATTATTACTTAACATTTGTTTTGTCCCCTTACCATTTCCGAAATCTTTAATTATGAATTGGAAATGAATATTTCCGGCATGCCTATAATTTTGTTAAATCATTTCTGAGGGGGAAAACCATACATTGCGGCAGTGTTTGTCTCCCCTGCGACGTATGTCGTGGAGGCGGGACTTACAAATAGGTGGTACATTTCCAGCGGCGTCAACGTTAAGTTTTTGCGTTTAGCTCTGTTTCTCAAAAAGTATAAGTGCTAAACCAACCAAACTTGGAACATACATGCGTCTTATATACTTCACCTCAATTCATGCATCAGTTGCTGAATGTGCCCTACATTTCGCGGTCCAGTGACTTTGACAACATCTACATCAATGTTAAGTTTTTGTGTTTAGCTGTGTGTTTTATGCCGTATCTCAAAAAGTTTAAGTGTTGGACTAAATGAACTTGGACTGTAGTGGTCTCAGACGTAGTGCATCTCAAACCATGCATCAGTTGCTACATTTCACGGTCCAGTGACTTTGACAGGATCTTCATCAATGTTCAGTTTTTGCGTTTATCTGTGTTTTTGCTTCCATAGTCTAAGGAAATTAATTTATTTTGGTAGTGTCCATATGGTAACAATGTAGAGCTGCATCAGGGCATGAATTGGGAAAAGGCCGCTGATGTCAATTGGAAAAAAAATCACTTTTTTTCATTTTAGATGTTTATATTGTATTGTTATTTGAAAACAAGCTGAACATTAACAAAAAAATATTTTTTGAGAAATACACAAATACACTTGCGCAAATTGGGATTCCCAAAATTATAACCCGCTAATATTTTCTTGACACAAAGGAACGAAAAAAAATACAAAATTTACGGGACATATTAAGGTAACGTATTGTCCATTTGTCCGTCCGTTAACAATTCTTGTCATGAAACTCAACATTGACACGAAAATTCCAAACTTCGGGTCGAACTAAAAATGATTCACACCTTGAATCTTATGATCAAAGCGGGGACAGGCGAGACATAATAATGACGTGTAAGTCTTGTTCTATGCAAGTGCTGAGTTGTATAGACCACACGTCTCTGGTTAAGGTCGAAACCCTTTCACTATCATATAGGATTAATCATATTGTTAAATATTACCACGGACTTGGATCTAATTCCGTATTATAAGTAATAACTTAATCTGGCTTGTAACAAGAATTTTCATTGTTTTAAAAATGTATGTTATCAGCCAATAACGTAAAACAAGAGGTCCAATGGGCCTGCATCGCTCACCTGGTATTAATCTCACACTTGTAATCTTAATAGTGGACTAAATAACAGCTACAGGCAGAATATCAGTGTTTAATTCATAAGAACCTATTAAAAGATTTCAACATATCACCCCTGTGACCTCGAATGTCGAACAAGGACATTAGGTTGAAAGTGGGAAAAGGTCATTCATTTCAACAAACTTGGTAGCCCTTCATCCCAGCATGCTACAGGCCCAATTTCAGTACCCTGGGCCTTTTGGTTATTGAGAAGTTGTTTGAAGATAATACGACATTTGACCCCTGTGACCTTGAAAGTGGGTCAAGGTCATTCATTTGAACAAACTTGGTAGCCCTTCATGCCAGCATGTTACAGGCCTAATATCAGTACCCTCGACCTTTTGGTTATCGAGAAGAAGTTGTTTGAAGATTTTAAGACATTTGACCCCTGTGACCATGAAAGTTGGTCAAGGTAATTCATCTGAACAAACTTGGTAGCCCTTCATCCCAGCAAGCTACAGGCCCAATATCAGTACCCTGTGCCTTTTGGTTATTGAGAAGAAGTCGTTTGAATATTTTAAGACATTTGACCCCTGTGACCTTGACAGTTGGTCAAGGTCATTCATTCGAACAAACGTGGTAGCCCTTCATCCCAGCATGCTACTGGCTCAATATCAGTACCCTCGGCCTTTTGGTTATTGCGAAGAGGTCGTTTGAAGATTTTAAGACATTTGACACATGTGACCTTGGAAGTGGGTCAAGGTAATTCATTTGAACAATTTTGGTAGCCCTTCATGCCAGCATGCTACAGGCCCAATATCAGTACCCTGGGCCTTTTGGTTATTGAGAAGTTGTTTGAAGATTTTAAGACATTTGACCCTTGTGACTTTGAAAGTGGGTCAAGGTCATTCATGTGAACAAACTTGGTAGCTCTTCATGCCAGCATGCTACTGGCCAAATATCATCAGCCTGGGCCTCAAGAGGGATATCGAGAAGAAGTTGTTTGAATATTTTAAGACATCTGGCCCCTTTGACCTTGGAAGTTGGTCTAGGTCATTTATTGGAACAAACTTGGTAGCCCTTTATCCCAGCATATTACAGGCCCAATATCAGTACCCTGGGCCTTTTGGTTATTGAGAAGAAGTTGTTTGAATATTTTAAGACATCTCGCCCCTTTGACCTTGGAAGTTGGTCTAGGTCATTTATTGGAACAAACTTGGTAGCCCTTTATCCCAGCATACTACAGGCCCAATATCAGTACCCTGTGCCTTTTGGTTATTGCGAAGAAGGTGTTTGAAGATTTTAAGACATTTGACCCCTGTGACCTTGGAAGTGGGTCAAGGTCATTAATTTGAACAAACTTGGTAGCCCTTCATCCCAGCATGCTACTGGCCAAATATCATCAGCCTGGGCCTCTTGGTTATTGAGAAGTTGTTTAAAGTAAAAAGTTGACGCCGGACGGACGACACACCATGCCATAAGCTTTTGATTAGCTGATACAGCGGCGTAATAATATCTAAGAGAAAAGAGTCCATCAATAAAAGTGGATTTGCACAGGGATTGTGTACAGTAGATTAAATTATAAGGATTAACTTGAATATATTTTTTATGCTATGGAGCTATATCATATTTGCGGTTTATTTAGAGTACACTCCGCTTTTTGTGTTATATCTCCATAACATAAAAAATATATTCAAGTTAATTCCTAAATATTAACTATTTTCCCCCTTTGGATTGCACACCTTCCCTAAAGAGGATATGAATTTCAATTGCTCAAGAAAGTTTCATTTTACATTAACTTATATCATTATCCTGCCACCTGTACCCATGAAGTAATGTTTCTAAGCCAAAAACTAAAATTGCATTTTGAGCAGTCTTCATTTCGCAGCACTCTTTATTTTCATTCTGTAGGGCCTTTGGTTATCCATTCCAAATGAAGTCAACATTCCTCTTGCTGTTTTGGACAAGTTATCATTTAAAATAACAAGAGGCCCAATGGGCCTGCATCGCTCACCTGGTATAAATCTCACACTTGTAACCTTAAAAGTGATCTAAAATAAAGCTACAGGCAAATTAAGTCATTATGTTGAACAAATTCTATAGCCTTTCATCTCAGGATGCAATTTGCAAAGTATCAACATCCTGGGACCCATGGTTATTCAGAAGAGGTCAATTAAAGATTTTAAACAAATTTGACCCCTGTGACCTTGAATATAAGTCAAAGTCATTCACTTTAACAAGCCTAGTAGTCCTTGATCCCAGCATGCTACTGCCAAAAATCAACATCCTGAGCCTTTTGGTTATTCAGAACAAGTTGTTAAACATTTTTGAACATATTTGCTCCTTGTGACCTTGAATATGATACAAGGTCATCCATTTAAACAAACTTGGTAGCCCTTGCTCCTAGTATGCTACTGACTAAATATTATCACCCTGGGCATTTTGGTTACTCAGAAGAAGTTGTTTAAAGTTTTTAACATATTTGACCCCTGAGCCCTTGAACATGGGTGAAGGTCATTCATTTGAACAAACTTGATAGCCCTTTACCCAAGCATGCTACTGGCCAAATATCATCACCCTGGGCATTTTGGTTATTCAGAAGAAGTTGTTTATTTTTTTTTAAGACAATTTACCCCTGTGACCTTGAATATAATTGAAGGTCATTTATTTGAACAAACTTGGTAGCCCTTCACCCAAGCATGCTACCGGCCAAATATCATCTCCCTGGGCAGTTTGGTTATCGAGAAGAAGATTTTAAAAGTTTTTAACATATTTGAACCCAGCGACGTTGAAAATGGGTGAAGGTCATTAATTTTAACAAACTTTGTAGCCCTTCATCTCAGTTTGCTTCTGGCCAAATATCATCACCCTAGGCCTTTAGGTTATTAAGAAGAAGTCGTTTAAAGTTAAATATTGGCGCCGGATGCGGGACAGACGGACAGACGACGGACGCCGCGCCATGGCATAAGCTCACTTGGCACTTCGTGCCAGGTGAGCTCAAAATTAACAACAGACAGCAAATGGTTTGACATCAAATGAAATGGTTTTCTACACCAGGGCCCGTATTCATGAAACCAATATCATGTTCAATCGTGGATTCTTTGATCAAACTAGTTTTCTTGTAACTCATTTAAATCATGTCAAACAATCAAAAAGTCAAATGTGAACATTGAAAAAATAGATCCCTTATTTTTTTCCCAAATCATTGACAATATATTATGTTTCAATATTAATTTTTAACCATAACAAGATTTAAGCTTGCGCATAAAATTCCTGCTTAAGCATGAGAATAGTTTCATGATTTCAAGCCCAGCCAGGTGACTAAATATGTCATAACAACAAAACTGCACATGAATTTTTGTATTATATATTTTATTCCATTTTAGACCTACAAATGCTAATTTTACAGTAGACATGCAATGAAAATATATATACTAACAGTGTACACTGTTACACACAGTTATTCTCAGTAGGCAGGGGAATGATGGTAGTCTATTCCATTTTACTCCAGAGGTAGGTAATCGAAAGTATTACATACTATATATACATCACACCTTTTTATGATGAAAATGGTATGGTCCGTTTTTGCTATATCAACAATTAATATTTTGAAAGGTTTAAAACTTTGAAGACACATAATGGGGTTGGGGTTGGGGTTGGGGTGGGGGTGGGGGGTTGTTCATAGTCAACTTTGGGCTTGCAAGTGGGTGAAAACAATTTTTAAATTATTTTTTTAACAAAGTTATTCCAAACTCAGATGAGGGTCATTTTTATGGATGTGATAAAATGTTGTGTATCAATTGTGAATTATAACGGACATTTAGAAACAATTTTAAACCTGAATCCTCACTCGAACAATCATTAAGTGATAATTGAGATTCTTTGTGCACTTACCCAAATTGACAATCATACAGCCTTATCCAAAGCCTATCTAGCCAAGCACAATAGAAAACATATCTAACAGAGAGATCATGAATGACCCATCATTCTGGAGTGTATTCAAGAAAATGATGAACATCTTTACATTGACAAACATGAAATTTCAAGTCCCACAACATCCCCTAACAACAGGAATAAATGATACACACATTTCTTTATTGATAACTTAAAAGCATTTGTACAATGATGCATGATTAATATATAACAAGTGCAGTAAAATATTGTTAGGTTACCCTACCTACCGTAATGTTTTGTGCCTACCCTAAACTTTTTTTGGGCAATTTGCATAGAAACACTGTTAAAGTCAAGATCACATGTATATCTAAATTATAATTGTTTTCTTATTAGTGACCTACATACAGACACACCCTTATATTTCCGATATTGAAGTGTTTATGATGTCAGTGGAAACGAGATTCCTGGAACAGCCCAACGTCATCAAAATGTTTGATTCTAACAGCTATCTCATGTTAAGCTTTAAAATGACAGTGATCAAAATGTGGTCATAGCCCTATGAACACAATTTCTTGTGGTATTGCTCATAGAGGAGCTTGCAGCTGAAATGTAAATATAAGTCTATAATGAAAGCATGAGATTATTTGTGCTATGAGAATTTTTCACCAAGTTAATGAGCATGGAAATCTACAAATAACCGGCACAGTATGAAATGCATATCTATATTGAGACATTGCAAATAGCTTAAAGGTCAAAGTGCAAATATTTTCCTTAAATTTAGTACCATTATACAAATACAAAACTGAAAATTATTTTTAAACTTTACGAAGAGGGTGTCTTTGATTTATTATGATTCTCTGGTGACAAGAAAAGAATGGAAGTTATTTCTCAAATATTTACATTTTGAAGAAACAAAGCGCATCAACACATTCTGAAACTAACGAGACATTCACAACGAAGGTATCAGATGGTTTATAAATAAAACATCACATGTACACAATATAGCAAAATTCTGACTGAGAAATGAAGCAAACTTCGATTGCTTTGATATAAAAAATAAATCAGAGCTGATGAATATTCACAACATTTTACGATTCTATTAAATACTTAAAAAAAAAGGTGATTTATCCACCCTAAGTGAAACATAAAGTAAAATGAAATATAAACCACCATTGCAAATAAACTTGAAAAGTGGCAAGAAGGTGTGAGAGTTGTCTCCCTTCACCTATAGCATACATGTGTAGGTGTCGACCTCTCTGTCTCCAATGAGGGAGATCTCCCTCATTCCACATTAAGAATGAGGGAGACAGTACGTGAAATGGGACTGAATCTGCTTTGCTCAATTTCTCTTTCCCTTTTTATGTATCAAAATAACTCCAAAAAACATTCATTTGATTCCGATACAACTGTTATGATCACTTACACACACTACAGTATCTAGGAGTTCATTTCACCCCAGGATGTAGATTTTGAATTTGTGTGAGTTAGACTTGAATGAGGGAGTTTTGAGGATTGGTAAATTTTTGATAAAAATAAGGGAGTCAGCTTACAGATAAGTATACAAAATACATTTAGTCCAATCTATTTCAGACAACTGCTATCAAGCAGTACTCTGTCTTAACTCATTCACCCCAGAAATTACACAATGAACTTTTCCAAGCTTTGAATTGGAAGAGTTCAAATGTGTGTTCATGAGTGAATGGGTCAAGAGACCTGACCATATTCACCCTCAAAAGCAGTTATTATGCAGTGGCTGAACCAGAGACCTATCTGGGAGGGTTTCCAAATTTCCAGGGGGGGTTTCAAGTGGGGAAGAAATGAGAAAAATGGTGATAATACATAATTTTAAAAGAACATTCTCAGGGGGGGGGGGGGGGGGGGGGGGGTTCATGAAGCCCAAAACACCCCACTGGATCCCCCACTGTTATGATAGAGAGGTCATCGTTGTTATGAGACTGCATTTTAGTCTTCTTTTCTCTTGTATTTGAGTGTGCAGTAGTATAAGCTTTGTAATGTATACCCCACTGCAGTGAAATTGACATATACAACCTATAGCTCTCACCTGTGTGACGAAACACATCTGTGCCAACCTATCGGTAAAATTAACCTGTCTATTCTGACATCCCCGCCAGACACGACAGATTGCTCAAAATTAGCCTGTCTCATCTGACACCCTGTGGAACACAACAAATTGGAAAGATATTAACCTGTCTTATCTGACACCCTGTGGAACACACAAATTTGGCAAGATTGACCTGTCTAATTTGACACCCTGTAGAACACAACAAAATAGTCAGATTAGCCTGTCTAATCCGACACCTTGTGGAACTCAACAAGTTTGCCAAATGTATCTGTCTAATATGACACCCTCTCATGATAGACAAAATCTTAGAATTATTACAGGTCTGTTTTAATCAATTTTTTTTCTAGAAAACACAATAACAGCATTATGTTTGATAAAACAGGATGTCAAAATACCAATGAAAAATATTACAATTCTCTGTAATCAACGTGTTGGGTTGAACAAAAAATTGAAAAAAATATACAACCTTTATGCTGCAAAATGTAATACATACAGTATATATGTACAACTTCTGACTGTGTCTTGATATGTCAAAACATTTTCAAAATTTTTGACACAGGATGTTATTCCCAGAATTGTGCGTAACTCTCTATTTTCCAGTTTATTTTGTTTTGACCTTTATATGACACAGATGAGATTTTTGCCCTCAAGCACCTCCTCCTCGACTTTTCTGCTTGTTGTGGAATGATCAGCTTGGATGGAAAGAATGGAGCAGAGAAAAACCAGGACCGTCCCAACCACACACAGATAGAACGACCAACCTATGCAGAGAAAAGAGACATTCATTATTATGCTGGAGTTGTCTCCCTTCTATCAAGTACTCTGTAGTAGGTTATAAATGCACCCTTGGAATATGTCATAGCAAAATTGAAGGCTCAGTGTGCGCCACCTTAATGATGAGAAAAGAAGACTGGCTTTTAAGTTGGGCGTCAGTCCTCAGTAATCTTCAAAGGACAGGTATCAGCCTGGTGATTGGTCAGGTTTTTTTTACCGTAGACCAATCAAACAGCTATCTTTGCCCCTTCAAATTTGCTATGACATATTCCAGGGGTGTAGAGGGCGAAAGTGAGCGTAACCCCTGGATATGGAGGATGGGATGAATGTAGAATCAACATTACCTTTTCATAAACCCTAATTAACTTATCTATTCCAAACCCTTGCATTGGCCTCCACAACCATAGCTAGGGTTGTGTTCGTGAAACGGTTCTTATACTCAAACATGGACTTTGTGTTTAAACAAACTTCCTGGTAACTCGCTTAAATCATGAACACAGGTCTTGGTCCAATCTTCACCTCATCAGCCCAAGACTTACTCCTCCCCTCCCCTCCCCATCAAGCCCTCTATCCCCTCACTATCACTTCCCTTCCTCACTTGAATCAATCAAAATCTTGTCCCCTTTTTGCCAGTGCCTGTCCCCTTTTTACACCCCCTCCCTTACTCTAATGTCTGTCTGTCCCCAGAGATCTCCATCAGATCATTCCTTACCTACTGTACACCCCACTCCCCAGGTATCTCCACCAGATCAATCCTTACCTACTGTACACCCTACTCACCAGGGATCTCCATCAGATCAATCCTTACCTACTGAACCCCCCTCTCCCCAGGGATCTCCATCAGATCAATCCTTACCTACTGAACACCCCACTCCCCTGGGATCTCAATCAGATCAATCCTTACCTACTGTACACCCCACTCCCCAGGAATCTCCATCAGATCAATCCTTACCTACTGTACAACCCACTCCCCAGGGATCTCCATCAGATCAATCCTTACCTACTGAACACCCCACTCCCCAGGGATCTCCATCAGATCAATCCTTACCTACTGTACACCCCACTCCCCAGGAATCTCCATCAGATCAATCCTTACCTACTG